TGAATATGGACCCAAAAGAATTTGGGTACCAAAAATCAAAATTAATCTATGTTTGTAGGGAAAGGAGCATTGCTACAAGGCACGGGAAACAAATTCAAACTCATGGTACCTTGATAGTGGATGCTCAAGACATATGACCGGAGACAAAAGCCGGTTCATTGAGCTTAACGCCAAAAATGGAGGAGAAGTGACTTTTGGAGACAATTCAAAAGGTCACATTGAAGGTATTGGTACAATAAGTAATACCTCTTCCATACAAATTAAGAATGTTTTATATGTGAATGGATTAAAGCATAATCTTTTGAGTATTAGTCAATTATGCGATAAAGGATTCAATGTCTTATTTGAAATTAATGGTTGTAAAGTTATTGACATTGCATCTAATCGGATTATGCTTATTGGTCATAGAATAGGAAACATTTACATGGTGCATTTAGATTCTATTGATATGACTAATTTATGCCTAGTTGCTAAGGATGAGCATGATAGTTGGTTATGGCATAGGAGACTAGGTCATGCTAGTATGAGTGTTTTGCAACGGTTAATTCAAGGAGACTTAGTAAGAGGGTTGCCTAAGCTTAAATTTGATAATGATAAAATCTGTGATGCTTGCGCTAAAGGAAAACAAAAACGAGTTTCTTTTAAATCTATTAATGATGTATCAACTAGTAGAGTATTACAATTGATCCATTTAGATCTTTTTGGGCCAACTAGAACTACTAGCTTGGGAGGAAAACAATATGCTTTTGTCTTGGTAGATGACTATTCTAGATACACTTGGGTTCTATTTGTAACACCCTCAACCCGTATCCGACCCGGATACAAGTCTGAGGTGTCACATTGACTTTTCAAACTTTAATCTTTTAACGAAAACCAATGAAATTTAAAACTTTGATTAAAATAACATTGTCACTGCACACGAGTTAACCAAAATAAGACAAAACTAATCAGAGCATTTGAACTAACACTGTTCTTACATGCCAACACACTACATACAACAAAATACCTACTGTGACTTTACTTCTGATCTGATCGCTGAGTAGAGATAGGTTGATCTGCAAATTCCTATTCTTGATTCTCCTGCTCTTCGAAACCTACGTGTAAAAACACTTACACGCTAAGTCATAGACTTAGTGAGGCATAATTACATCATAAAGAATTATTAAAATATAAACATGTCGTCTACTATCCAAACACAATTATACTATCATACCATCATTTATTATACCACATATGAGCCAATACAAATCGTAATAATACCATATTAAGATACAACTATATACATCCTCGTTATGTCTTATTTAAGTCCATATACACTATTGAGAACCCAAGGTATACGAGTATTATGAGATTGTGCACACGTATGCTGTCCCCACAGCTCCATGAATTTTCCGAAGGACCTATCCAGAGGTCATAAAGATCCTCGGTAACTATCCAGAGGTCATAAAGATCCTCGGTAACTATCCAGAGGTCATAAAGATCCTCAGTAACTATCCAGAGGTCATAAAGATCCTCGGTAACTATCCAGAGGTCATAAAGATCCTCAGTAACTATCCAGAGGTCATAAAGATCCTCGGTAACTATCCAGAGGTCATAAAGATCCTCGGTAACTATCCAGAGGTCATAAAGATCCTCGGTAACTATCCAGAGGTCATAAAGATCCTCGGTAACTATCCAGAGGTCATAAAGATCCTCGGTAACTATCCAGAGGTCATAAAGATCCTCGGTAACTATCCAGAGGTCATAAAGATCCTCGGTAACTATCCAGAGGTCATAAAGATCCTCGGTAACTATCCATAGGTCCCGAAGAACCTAGGTAAACTATCCATATGTTCCTTAGAACATAGGTATACTGTCCATATGTCTCGAAAGACATAGGTAGTTCTTTGACTCTTGGCATACCAACTATACTTACAGTTCTCATAACTCATCTCATGGCATAGTCTTTTACCTTATTACATATTCATACATCATATCACATTTTTCTTTTTCTATAGCTCTTTATCACATGTTCATATGATCATCTTATTACCTATACCTTTTCATATAACCATTACATACATACATACATACATGTCATCCCTCATATGATTTCATATTCATATTCTGTATATTTCATATTCTTTCTTATGTCCTTTTCATACTTCTTATTTCATATTCTTATGAAATCATATTAATCATTTTAACTATTTCACATATTTAACACATTTATCTACATATTTACACAACTCATATAATATATATATATATATTGTAACATGTCAATACATATGCTCATTCATACATATAAACCATAACAAACACAGCACACTTACTTCATATACCTAATATAGATATCTCGTAACTCATTCATATATAAGCTCTAATCTGGAACATAGACTTACCACAATCTGCATAGTATATCCCATAATGTATATGGTATGAATTCATATCATATTTAATAATATTGAATGAATCATGTATCAAGATATTAAATCTAGACTTATCGCAGTTCTAAAACTGAATATACTAACATAATCATGTTATGCACATGCACTCACCTTAGCCTTGTTTGAATTGAATCAATTCTAACCCTTCGTTTACTTTGAAACAAAGTCACGTTCCATATCTACATAAGCATAATTTTCAAGATGATTATCAGATGCCCAAGTCTTGAAATTAACCTCTAATATCCTACCAATTTAAGGGATTAATAGTTTAGTCTCTCTTCTTTCTTCTTTTTTTTTTCATTATGGGGGAATCGGTTCCCCCCCTTGGGGGTATCGATTCCCCTCTAGCATTCTGGAATTCATACTCGTTTGAGGGGGAATCGATTCCCCTTGAATGGGTACCGATTCCCCTAGCCCAGAAATCTCATTTTGAGCTCGAAAATCACCTTATTTTAGCTCTAACCTTCCTATTTCACTTCCTTTAATACTCCTAACTTTAATATACATACTTAAACTTATTCTTATTCCCTAATCACTTCTTTAACTTCAAATCTAGTCATTCCTATGTAATTGCAAAAATTATACTAGTTTTGCAACATGTTCAAATTCCTATTCTAACACTTCCTATCCCTTAATTGACTTGATGACAAGTCAAATTCAACTTCCAATTCTCAATATAAACTTTATTTCGATATTTCATTCAAAAACTTCAAATCTTTAAATCCTCATAAACTCTTCATTTTGTTGTTTTAAAGCAAATTAATCCTTCTTTAATCTTACTTAGCATCTAATAATCAAAACTAAACTTAAATTTCAGCACATAATCAGCTCAAGAGAAAACTCACCTTTGCTTGGCTTCCCACGTGGAGAAGAGAAAATGAACAAGAAAAGAGAGAAGCGATTTTTCTAGAAAATCTCCCATCCTTATCCATATATATATATATATATCATTTAATTATAATTTTCAAGTCTAATGACCATTTTGCCCTTTAATTCTTTGGATAATTACTATAAACTTTTAGGAAATATTTCCGAACAAATCATTAAACTATTAAACTATTATACTTTAATCACCATATTCTGAAATTTTACACTTTTGGTCACTAACCCGTATTTTGGGATGTTACAAATCTCCTCCCCTTAAGAAAATTCGTCCTCGAATTTTCATTGCACTAGGAGATAAGATATTATCTACACATCTCCAATGCATTTTACTTTAACCTTTCTAAAATCCATATAATGTAACTCATTATATAGACAGTAACCTCTATTTTCATCACTCCATACCAATAATCCATCTATATTTATTATTATTATTATTATTTTTTTATAGTTCAGATTCAACCATTCCATTTTCCTTTGTCTTATAAACTGATCACTGATGTACATATTCTTAAACTTTTCTATAACAATATTCTGCATCATTTGATCTTTTAATATTCTCCTTATAAGAATCATCCCCTATACCTTATCTTATCAATGCAGTAAAGAAACTATTCTATTTCAGAATGATATAAATCCTCTAACATTATAATGGGACACTTTCAATATATCTTACTTATCCACACACTGTACTCTAATAAATTTGTCACTGTCATATTACTATGAATAATTTCTAATTGAATTCTCAATTCTTTCACCCATTCTCTACTCTTATATGGTTATACAATCTCATATCAACTAATATCATAAAGCATTTACTGTACAATAGAAGATACCTGCTATTATCTCTGGATCCTCATTGTCTTCACTGATATTGAGATTATATACTCTAGCCGTAGAGCGCATTTCCTGTTGAGTAGAAAATTCTGTCTGACTTCTTCCTCTACCTCTACCCCGTCCTCTCTGGGATATCGAAGCAGATCGCTCCGACTGCAGAGGCTTTCCTGTCCCCAGTGGACAATCTCTCATGAAATGTCCTATTTCCCCACATCGAAAACAGGCTCCAGATTCAACTCTACATGCCCCACCATGATATCTCTCACAAATCTAACAGTGTCTCTGTTGTGCTCTTCCATCACCAGACTTTCCTAATTGAGTCTGTCTAGCTCTCATCTGATTTGATCCTCTAGCAGAGGATACCACTGATTCAGGCCTTACTTGGTATTGGAACCCAGAATCTCTACCTCTCTTGGGTGGTACAGAGCTCGACGAAGCCCCCGTTCTTTTGGAAGATTGAGCTTTCTGATCCCCAAACCGCTCATTCTGAGCTCTTTCTAGAGCTTTAGCACGATTTACTACTTCCTGAAATGAGGACAAGTTCAAAACAATCAACATCTCTTTTAGCCTTGGTCGTAGTCCTTCAATAAACCACTCACATGCTTCTTTCTCTGTCCGAATCAATTCGGCCGCAAATCGACTTAACTTGTTGAATTCACACTCATATTCATACACTGTGCGATTCAGCTGTTTCAAATTCAAGAATTCTTGCTTCATTTCCCTGATGAACTGATCTCCTATATACTTGTGCTTAAACTCTTCTAAAAATAAATACCATGTTTTCTGATCATTTGGCATCCTATGAATAACATTCGTCCACCAGATTCTTGCTTGCCCACGGAGCAAAGAGACCATCCCATCTAGTTTCTCCATATCAGAGCAGTGGAGTCCCTCTAACATGATCTTTACATCATTAAGCCAAAGGTCCGCAACAACAGGACCTTCTTCGGCTTCACCTTTGAACTCTGGAGCTCCTAATCCTTTTAACTCTTTGGCTATATTAATCCTCTGCGTTGAGGATGCAGGAGTTTGGAAACGTGTCAAAATAGTGCCCAACGTCCTGAAAATACATTTTGATCTTATACAGGCACTCCAGAGGGTGCCTGTCCTTCACCTTGCCTGGCCAGGGCAGGTGAATTACTACTTTCAGCTAATCTATCATCTCTCGCTTCACCCCGAGAGCTATCTTGTCCGGACATCTAATAAGAGATAACCAAATATTTCTATTAGCTAAACAACATACTCATTATTCGTATCAGATCAGAAGTTCTTACTACTGTGTTGGCATGAACACTTTTTAAGACACTATGGACTCCGGTTTATGCCGAGAATCGACTAAACCGTGGCTCTGATACCATTAAATATAACACCCTCAACCCGTATCCGACCCGGATACAAGTCTGAGGTGTCACATTGACTTTTCAAACTTTAATCTTTTAACGAAAACCAATGAAATTTAAAACTTTGATTAAAATAACATTGTCACTGCACACGAGTTAACCAAAATAAGACAAAACTAATCAGAGCATTTGAACTAACACTGTTCTTACATGCCAACACACTACATACAACAAAATACCTACTGTGACTTTACTTCTAATATGATCGCTGAGTAGAGATAGGTTGATCTGCAAATTCCTATTCTTGATTCTCCTGCTCTTCGAAACCTACGTGTAAAAACACTTACACGCTAAGTCATAGACTTAGTGAGGCATAATTACATCATAAAGAATTATTAAAATATAAACATGTCGTCTACTATCCAAACACAATTATACTATCATACCATCATTTATTATACCACATATGAGCCAATACAAATCGTAATAATACCATATTAAGATACAACTATATACATCCTCGTTATGTCTTATTTAAGTCCATATACACTATTGAGAACCCAAGGTATACGAGTATTATGAGATTGTGCACACGTATGCTGTCCCCACAGCTCCATGAATTTTCCGAAGGACCTATCCAGAGGTCATAAAGATCCTCGGTAATTATCCAGAGGTCATAAAGATCCTCGGTAACTATCCAGAGGTCATAAAGATCCTCGGTAACTATCCAGAGGTCATAAAGATCCTCGGTAACTATCCAGAGGTCATAAAGATCCTCGGTAACTATCCAGAGTTCATAAAGATCCTCGGTAACTATCCAGAGGTCATAAAGATCCTCGGTAACTATCCAGAGGTCATAAAGATCCTCGGTAACTATCCAGAGGTCATAAAGATCCTCGGTAACTATCCATAGGTCCCGAAGAACCTAGGTAAACTATCCATATGTTCCTTAGAACATAGGTATACTGTACATATGTCTCGAAAGACATAGGTAGTTCTTTGACTCTTGGCATACCAACTATACTTACAGTTCTCATAACTCATCTCATGGCATTGTCTTTTACCTTATTACATATTCATACATCATATCACATTTTTCTTTTTCTATAGCTCTTTATCACATGTTCATATGATCATCTTATTACCTATACCTTTTCATATAACCATTACATACATACATACATACATGTCATCCCTCATATGATTTCATATTCATATTATGTATATTTCATATTCTTTCTTATGTCCTTTTCATACTTCTTATTTCATATTCTTATGAAATCATATTGATCATTTTAACTATTTCACATATTTAACACATTTATCTACATATTTACACAACTCATATAATATATATATATATATATATATATATATATATATATATATATATATATTGTAACATGTCAATACATATGCTCATTCATACATATAAACCATAACAAACACAGCACACTTACTTCATATACCTAATATAGATATCTCGTAACTCATTCATATATAAGCTCTAATCTGGAACATAGACTTACCACAATCTGCATAGTATATCCCATAATGTATATGGTATGAATTCATATCATATTTAATAATATTGAATGAATCATGTATCAAGATATTAAATCTAGACTTATCACAGTTCTAAAACTGAATATACTAACATAATCATGTTATGCACATGCACTCACCTTAGCCTTGTTTGAATTGAATCAATTCTAACCCTTCGTTTACTTTGAAACAAAGTCACGTTCCATATCTACATAAGCATAATTTTCAAGATGATTATCAGATGCCCAAGTCTTGAAATTAACCTCTAATATCCTACCAATTTAAGGGATTAATAGTTTAGTCTCTCTTCTTTCTTTCTTTTTTTCATTATGGGGGAATCGGTTCCCCCCCTTGGGGGTATCGATTCCCCTCTAGCATTCTGGAATTCATACTCGTTTGAGGGGGAATCGATTCCCCTTGAATGGGTACCGATTCCCCTAGCCCAGAAATCTCATTTTGAGCTCGAAAATCACCTTATTTCAGCTCAAACCTTCCTATTTCACTTCCTTTAATACTCCTAACTTTAATACACATACTTAAACTTATTCTTATTCCCTAATCACTTCTTTAACTTCAAATCTAGTCATTCCTATGTAATTGCAAAAATTATACTAGTTTTGCAACATGTTCAAATTCATATTCTAACACTTCCTATCCCTTAATTGACTTGATGACAAGTCAAATTCAACTTCCAATTCTCAATATAAACTTTATTTCGATATTTCATTCAAAAACTTCAAATCTTTAAATCCTCATAAACTCTTCATTTTGTTGTTTTAAAGCAAATTAATCCTTCCTTAATCTTACTTAGCATCTAATAATCAAAACTAAACTTAAATTTCAGCACATAATCAGCTCAAGAGAAAACTCACCTTTGCTTGGCTTCCCACGTGGAGAAGAGAAAATGAACAAGAAAAGAGAGAAGAGATTTTTCTAGAAAATCTCCCATCCTTATCCATATATATATATATATATATATATATATATATATATATATATCATTTAATTATAATTTTCAAGTCTAATGACCATTTTGCCCTTTAATTCTTTGGATAATTACTATAAACTTTTAGGAAATATTTCCGAACAAATCATTAAACTATTAAACTATTATACTTTAATCACCATATTCTGAAATTTTACACTTTTGGTCACTAACCCGTATTTTGGGATGTTACACTATTCTTAAGTACTAAAGATGAAGCATTAGAAAATTTCATCACATTTTCAAAAATAATCCAAAATGAAAAAGGTTACTCTATCACTAGTGTTAGAAGTGATCATGGAACTGAATTTGAAAATCTTGGATTCATTGAGTTTTGTAATTCTAATGGTATTAGCCATAATTTTTCAGCACCTAGAACCCCTCAACAAAATGGAGTTTTTGAGAGGAAAAATCGAACTTTAGAAGAAATGGCTAGAACCATGCTTTGTGAAAATAATTTGCCAAAATATTTTTGGGCGGAAGCCACAAATACCGCTTGTTATGTTGTAAATCGAGTAATGATTAGGCCAATTTTAAAGAAAACTCCATATGAAATTCTCAAAAATAAAAAGCCTAACATTAGCTATTTTCATCCTTTTGGATGTAAATGTTTTGTTTTAAACAACGGTAAAGAAAATCTTGGCAAATTTGATGCTAAAAGTGATGAAGGAATTTTTCTGGGTTATTCCTTAAATTCTAAAGCTTATCGTGTATTTAATAAAAGAACTTTAGTTGTAGAAGAGTCTATACATGTTGTTTTCGATGATAATCCCCTTCCAAGGAAGGATTCTTCTGTTAATGATGATGTAGGTATTGTACAAGCAAATGACGTTAGACATGACGTTGGAGAATCATCATCAAAGGAAGAAACAAAAGATGAGGAAACTCATGATCCCCTCGAGAATCCAACCATTGAAGAAAGGGAAGTATTTTTTCCAAGAGAGTACAACTACGTCAAGGATGGTGAAATTATAGGTGATCCATCAAAAGGGGTAACTACTCGATCTTCTCTTAGAAATATCTGTAATTATGTTGCATTTATTTCATGCATAGAGCCTAAGAACATCAAAGAAGCATTAAAAGATGAACATTGGATTATGGCTATGCAAGAAGAATTAAATCAATTTGAGAGAAGTAAAGTATGGACATTAGTTGAAAGGCCTAGTAATAAATCTACTGTAGGTACTAGATGGGTTTTTAGAAATAAACTTGATGAAAGTGGTAATATAGTGAGGAACAAGGCTAGACTTGTTGCTCAAGGCTATACTCAAGAAGAAGGCATAGACTATGATGAAACATACGCTCCCGTAGCTAGGATGGAAGCAATTAGAATGTTATTGGCATTTGCATGTTTCAATGAATTTAAATTATATCAAATGGATGTTAAAAGTGCATTTTTAAATGGTTTTATAAAAGAAGAAGTGTACGTGGAACAACCTCCAGGTTTTGAAGATTCAAATTTTTCGGATCATGTTTTAAAATTGACAAAAGCTCTTTATGGTTTAAAACAAGCTCCTAGAGCTTGGTATGAAAGATTGTCAAATTTTTTAATTGAAAAAGGTTTTTTAAAAGGAAAGGTTGACACTACATTGTTTTTAAAGAGAAAAGGTAAAGATTTATTAGTAGTTCAAATTTATGTTGATGATATAATATTTGGTTCTACTAATGATGTTCTTTGCCAAGAATTTTCTAAGCTAATGCAAAGTGAGTTTGAGATGAGCATGATGGGGGAGCTCTCATTTTTCATGGGACTCCAAATCAAGCAAAGAAAAGATGGCATCTTCATTAATCAAGCTAAGTACGTCAAAGATATGCTCAAGAAGTTTGGACTGGAAAATGGGAAACCTCATAACACTCCAATGAGCTCTTCAACAAAGCTTGATTTAGATGAAGGAGGTAAATGTGTAGATGTTAAATTATATAGGTCAATGATTAGCTCTTTGCTTTATCTAACTGCAAGTAGACCGGACATTATGTTTAGTGTTTGCTTATGTGCTAGATTTCAATCATGTCCTAAGGAATCACATTTACTAGCTGTTAAGAGAATCTTTAGATACCTTAAGGACACTCCTAGTTTAGGACTTTGGTATCCTAGAGACTCTAGTTTTAGCTTGCATGCTTTTTCTAATGCGGATTATGGAGGATGCAAATTAGATAGGAAAAGCACCTCCGGTACTTGCCAATTCCTTGGAAATATGCTGATTTCTTGGTTTTCAAAGAAACAAAATTGTGTTGCATTATCTACCACTGAAGCCGAATACATTTCAGCTGGTAGTTATTGTGCACAAGTTTTATGGATGAAATAACAACTTTTTGATTATGGAATTGAAGTAGGTACTATTCCTATCAAGTGTGACAATACTAGTGCTATTTGTCTCACTAAAAATCCCATCCAACACTCTAGAACTAAACACATTGAAATAAGACATCACTTCATTAGAGACCATGTCACTAAGGAAGATGTAGTTCTAGAATTTGTTGATACTTTGCACCAATTAGCGGATATTTTTACAAAACCCTTAGATAAAGAAAGATTTTGGACACTTAGAAGAGAATTAGGTTTAACTGACCTATCTTCACTTAGTGTTTAAAATAATTTAGCACTTTTAATAAATACTGAAAAATGCTTATAATAATAATTTTTGATTGTATTCTTGCTATTAGTTAGGGGGAGTTTATGA